AAATTGTCTTATCGCTTCGCTACTAAATTTTTACTGTCGGGGCCTCGTTATAGGGAATGAAGGATGATTTTTAAAATTATGTACACATACTCTCATTAACTTCAACTAAAAATTAATCAATTTATTAATTATCTTCAGTTTGAAGTTCAAGCGGAAGAACCCAACAAAAAAAAACTCTTTTTAAAAAAAAAATCTCTTAAAATTCCATAATATTTCACCAATCCACTGTTTTTTAAATGCTTTTTGAATGTCTGATGTCTTTTAACTTATGTGTCAATATTCCCCTCAACTTCAACTAAAAATTGATCGATTAATTAATTATCTTCAATCTAAAATGCAAGCGGAAGTATCAAAAAAAAAATCTTGAAAAAAAATGTCATGACATTCCGTAGCATTCCACCACCCCACTGACTTCCCCCCTGATCGCTCATCATTATCTTCACCTACAACTTCATCAACCCCAGCCCTCCCCAAACATTAATAACCGAACAAAGCCCCCAATTCTCAGCGAAACACCCCATTCAAAATGGAAAACACTGAGGTAGGAATAATCCGGCCTCAAGCACGCGCACATATGGCCTCTTTTATTATCGCCACTTGATCCCCCCGCATTGCAATGCGCATCACCCCATCCCTCGGTGTCCGTAATGAGCCGGTCAGAATTTCACCAATTTCAGGATCGCCAAATAGTGATATTTATCCAAGGCGCCGCATACGCTATTCACCGGCTTCATCGATTCCCATTCCCTTTATAGTCTCGTTCATATCAGTGTGCGTACCCTTTAACCCTCCGCCCTCACCAGTGCGTTTAATCCCCGCTTCTGGGTTCTTTCAACGTTCCGGACTGTTCAACACTCGTCTCCCCTCGGGCAGTTGAATTTTAGATTAAATTTAAAGCCTTGGGCTGTTGGAGATAGGAAGAGTTTTCACACTTGAGGGAATGTACATAGTGGAGGATCGAGAAAATTGAATTGGTTTCTGCTCTTTAATTATTTTTGAGAGGGGGGAATATTAGAAGTTGATTTTTTTGCTTTCGAAGGGAAGCTTTGTAGTCGTTCAAATTTAGATTTTGAATTTTTTTTGTTATGTTGACCCAGTATGAGTCAAAAATTCCGAAAATGCAATTTTTAGAGCTCGTCCGCACGTGTGTGTATGTGTGCACGTATATCCCGAGTCGAATAATTGGACCTGACAAATTCTACTTAGGTCTCTCCGTTCAGAACTGGATAGGTCTTGGGAAGCCTCTTCCCAAGTGCTTTCGAGACCTTTCCACCTCTGGTTATGTCCCACTTCAGCACTTGTTAGGTGTAAGCAGGACTTGCATTCAGACTTTCCAAATCCTTGCCGGTTCCCGTAATTCTATGGGCCTATATTAAATCTTTTTTATTAATCAGTAATTTAGTTACGAAGGTCGAGGATTATTTGGATAATCGGAAATCCCTTGTAAGTAATTTAGTTATTTAATTCATCATCAATTGGAAATTTAGATCTCAATTATTTGCAAATTTTGATTAGTATATTTAAAACTTGATCAATATAAATCGGAAATTGTTCTACTATTGAAGAATCGGAAGATTGATGGCCACCCCTAAAATCTACTGCGGAATTGAAATTTTAAAATTGGTCTTTCTTCGTACGTGCAATCAATCGCACAGCAAAAATTGCGATGCCTTCACAAATGGAAAAAAAAATTGCAAAACCTTCTATCAGTGAACATTTTTCCCAACTGGAAATCCCCCTTTTTTCTATCTTCACGTTGTCACTCAGTTGCGAAGCGTTATTTTACGCCTGTTATTTATTTTTTCACCGTTCAATCACTCGAAATTGTTTTTGTTCGATTCTACCCGAGTGATATTGGCCTCGTCGGCTGTCGATACTATCTTCGATAAACACGTGATGTAGTTTTCGGGGCGAATGGAGATGAGGGACAAGAAAGTTGAGGATAAAAAAAAAGAGGAGCGGGAGGGAGTGGAGTTGGAGCACTGCAGGGAGTGGATGGGTGTATTGAAGGTAAAAAGGGGCGAAAGACGTGGGAGGATGGAGCACAAGAGGCTTTTGGAGAATGGTGGCACTGGGGGAGGGAGGCACTGGGGGAAAAACACAACGTACGAGGCTGTAAGTGGGCCAATGTGGGGGTGGGAAACCCTCGGGGTGCACCACCGATGGTTACGTCTCTTTTCTTCTTGGCTATCGTCGGTTACTAGATCAACTTCACGCGCTTCGCAAAAAATGTGACTTCATTTTGGTGGACTGTTTGGAAAATCAGGTGAGGGAACGAATGGGTAAATGGAGTTTTGAGGAGAGCGAATGAAATTTAATGCCCTGGGGGACTGCTTTAATTCTTCAGATCAAATTTGATTCAGACAGGAATTTTTTTAGTGAAGGAAATTGGAATTTCAGTGACGTTGAATTCGATTTGAGGGGTAAAATCGTGGAATTTCTGATTTCACTGGAAATTCAATGAAATTTCAAATTTTTCAGCGACAGAATAACGAAGATTTTACTTGCATTTTCAATCAAAATATGAATATCAAGAATATCAATGATATATAAATTGATAATTAGGTATATAGAATTCTTATAAATTTGAATAACATGAGATATTTGCAAAAATTACCAACAGAATTATAAAATTTAAAAAAATCTAAAAATTGGTATCAAGAATATCAATGACATATAAATTTATAAATAGGTAGACAGAATTAAAAAAAATGAAAATAGAATTATAAATTTAAAAAAAAGTAAAAATTATGTAAAAATAACAATGACATAAACTGAAAGCGGAAATAACGACGTAAAACCGTAGTAAGTCTTTCCTATTTCCGCAATGCATTTTATTTCCGGCGGGATGGGGCAGAACGGTCTCCAATAAAGACTCCGAAGACGTTGTGACGAACGTTAAATTTTACTCGGCAAACACGAGTTACAGCTGGCTATGAAAAACGCTCCATTTCCCCCATCTTTCTCATCTCAATTTAATTTCATCAGTGAAAACGACTGTTATGACAACATCGAAATAGTTTAACAGTGGCTTCAGGTTCTCTGCCGGCTGGTAAATATTCACCAGTTATTTCCACCGTCCGTGAAATATCCTCGCATTAAATAACCAGAGGCAACGGTACAGACGACATTTTCGGTTTAGCCTTCATTACGTCTTGAATTCTTTATCCAACGGGATGAAAATTTAATTGTGAGCTAAACACCTGCCTTTAGTGTTCACTCGGAGTGCTGGAGTTGAGGTAGTTCACTGGAATTTCCTCTTTAATTCATATGAAAAAAGAAACTGCGGGTCTATTATTTTTTTATAATTGAAAAATTTGAAATTCAAAATCATTTCATTTCATAAAATCACATTTTTTACAAGAATATTGGGGAAAAACGGTTCATATAATTTTTTCTGTTCAATTAAAATTTTTCAAATGGAAAAAAAAAATTTGAAAAAATTTGTTTATGATTTGAAATTCAAAACCATTCCATAAAATTAATTTTTAAAAAATTCTCAAATCCACTAAAATTAAGAGATCTTTCATTTCAAAAAATTAATATTCCATAGAAATGTTGAGGCAAAACAGTTGATACAACTTTTTTTCAATTCAAATTTCCCAAATGAAAAAAAATTTTTTTTTAAAATCTAAAATCCATTTTTCAATAATTTGAAATTTAAAACTATCCTATAAAATTAATTATAAAAAAATCCTCAAGCCCACTAGAATGAAGAACCCTTTCGTTTCGTAAAATTAATTTTCCCAGAAATATTGGGGCAAAACGGTTTAAATAATTTTTTTTCCACGGAAATTTCACCAATGGAAAAAAAATAATAAAATAACACTTTCCTTTTGTCCCATAAAACCCTTCACGATCTGAAATGCTCCATTTTGCCCAACCCCCTTGTATTTCATCTGCTATTTTTTATTTCCTCCGTAGTGGCCTTATTTCCACAATTTTCTTCATCCCAACCAATGCGACACTGCTCTTACTTTCTGCACGGACGTATTCCTCCAACATTTTATACCACCACCGATATTTCCGAGAGCCATGAAACTCTCATGCGCCTCGAGACTGTTTACTCACGATACAATGTATGTGAAATGTCAGCGAGAAATCGTCGCACGTACAGTCGAAAAATGCAATATGAAATTCGTTCTGGTAGGAAAAAAACGAAGGGAGAGAGAGAAATGAGAGGAGTAAAAAAGAGTTGCTTCAATGGCATCGTAAAGGTAGAATCTATACAGAATTCTTAAAGCAGACACTGAAATTTCACCGAGAGTTCTTTCAGCTTTTCCACGACTTTCCTCTTTCTTTCATATTCTGCACTTTAGTTCTTTCTTTGTTCAGTCAGCGGTTTTATCCAACTGCTCCTCTTTTTTTGTTTCGTGTTTCGCTTTTGTGATTGGCGTTAGGCGCACGGCGAAGGGGGGGGGGGATTGCAGGAGATTGATGCAGTCCACTGATAATCCACTGTTACAAAAAAAAAGTTAAAATCTCATGGATAGTCGACGAATAATTTTCAGGAGAGTAGCATTGAATGCGATTTCTAAGGTTCACGAGAGTTATGATGAGGGTCAAAATAAGGGTCACGAGGGCTAGTTTAAGGGTCTCAAAGGTCAAATCAAGGGCCACGAGGATTGTAACGAGGGTTAGCGTAAGGGTCTCGAGAATTATAATGAGGGACAAAATAAGGATCACACGGAGTAGATTGAGGGTCACGAGGATTGTAATGAGGGTCAGAATAAGAGTCATGAGGTTCAGTTTAAGGGTCACGAGGTTCAGTTTAAGGGGCAGATTCCGGGTCATAAGGGTCAGAGTGAAGATCCAAATAAGGGCCACGGGGTTAAAATAAGGGTTATGTGGGAGTCATATGTGGATCATGTGGGGAATTTCCTCTAATCACCAATAATTGCTGCTCGATTTTGAAAAATCAGTGATATATCCCTGGATATCAGTGACAGCCTCCTGAAAATGAATATTTTTCTCTACAAAAAAAGTGCAGTAATACTCACTCGGTCTGATTGTCCTCGAAGGTGAGTGAGCCCTCACTCGGCATATACTGCTTATTCGGTTTGGCTGTCCCCTCGACAGTTCGGTAGGGCAGTGCGACACGTCCTCTTGCACCACTGTACCGTAATACCCTCAGGGGATACTGGCCAACACTCTCCACCAGCTCGACGTCACGCTCGGGGAAGCCGAAAATTCCACTGTGGTCGTCATCCAGGATCATTACGGTTGCGAGACTCGGGGATACCAGCATTGCTGACTGAGATACGTTGCTCAATCTGTAATTACGTTATTGGAATCAATTAGCCAGTCGATTCAACCAGAAAGTTCACTTTGGAGTGAACTGATCCGAAAAGAGGAGATGGAAGTCTTGGAAATAAATTTATACAGAAATGAAAGAATCGAAAGTTCAGGGCGAAACTTTTAAAGTTCTGAAAAGTTTTGGTTTTTAGAGAGAATTTTATGGAATCAATGCTTGATTTTACTTATTTTCATTATTTTTCTTTTTGAAAAATAACAATTGAAAATTAAATTTCATCGACAGTTGATCATGACAGTGTCTCATCCCCCTAATTTCTCTTCCAATGCCTCCTGTTTTGATCCCCCAGCACTCCCCCATTCCCTCACCACAAATCCATGAAAAAAATTAAGGAGATGTCAGGAGTCCTTCTCCATCATCCATCACCCGAAAAAAAATTTGTCCCAACGACTTTTCACTAATTTATCCAACAATCCTAATGAGTGCGACAATACCCCCGCCCTAATTCCTCATTCAAAAAATACACAATTTTTGCAATTTTCAAATAAATCAAAATAACAATTATCCCAAAGCACAACAAAAATCCCAAAAAACACTCCACTGTTGGAAAATTACTCCGAAAATTTCATGTAAAAAATCTTGAATTTTTTAACGATCATTCATCCATACGAAATTTTCATGTATTTTGTTATTGAAAAATCAGTTCAATTCTGGAGTATTCAGAGGAATTGCTATTTTCATTTCCACATGATAATGAATGAATGAGTTTGAGAATATCAGTGATAACCCCCATCAAAAAATATATAAAAAATATGTATAATACGGGCCAATTCCATATATTGTTCAAATTTATAAAGAATATATAAAAAAAATATAGAAAACATATATTTTTCAAAATATAAATTTTTCCGTGTGAGAAATTAACCTCAGAAAACCCCAATTATCGTGAATTTCCAACCTAAATAAAGATTCCATGAACGATTTGATCTTAAATTGAATTCAAATTCATAACGTCTCAAATTCAAGTGCACTATTGCTTAATTTTCAAAAAATTTCCAACAGTATCTCATTCCCCCAACTCCCCTCCCAATACCTCCTGCTCTCCCCAATTCCCTTCCCCCAAACCCCAGAAAAAAATTAACGAGACGTCAGCAGCCCTCCCCCACCATCCATCACCCGAAGAAAAACTTGTCCCAGTGACTTTCCACTAATTTACCCAACAACCCTAATGAGTACGACAATACCGCCCCCTCCCCACCCTAATTCCTCATTGCCACTATGATTGATTCCGCTCGATACGTCAGTCGTCATTCAAACGTCAGTGCAGCATGCACCGTCAGAGGTTTCCCAGAAAAAATAAATAAAAACCTTCAGTTTCAAAACAGATAGGAAATTGGACATTCCATCGGCGCTCGCGCGATTGCAATCAGCCATTTTTTTTCAATTTTTTCCCTGCCACTCTTAATTTAATGAATCCTCAGCTCTTCAAACATTGCCTCTCGCTGCACAAACACACGAGATTGAAGCGAATAGCATACAGAGATTACCAGCAAGTGTATATTGAGGCGAGTAGTGACGTTATGCGGATAAAAGAGAGTACAGCTTCATCTCCTCAACGATTGAATTCCGCTTTTAACGAGTTAATTCGCTCTGGCACGCGCTCTTCGTTATTTTGCCTTGGAGGCGATGACGGGGGTGGGGTGGGGGGGGGG